TGACATTGTGAAGGAGAACCAGTTGAGCTTTGAGCACAAGAAAAGTCTTTGACTTTCTTTAAAAGTTGGTCTCGTTCATCAGCAACTAAATCATACTTCTCTTTTAGTTCATTTCTCATCTTCAATTCAGTTTCCAGTTATGTCTACAGATTAGACAATTTTCTTGAAGTATTCAGGAGTTTACCTTCTAACACCTTTTTCAGCTTCTCAAATTTCTTCTTCTCATTATCAAACTCTCTTTTCTCTTCATCTGAGCTGCTTTTCTCATTTTCAGAAGCAATGTCGAGCCACTTTTTTTTTGCAAGCTTTTTAGCTATAGCTGCATATTTCTTTGTAGTATTTCTCTTTTCAAGCGCAAATTGCTTCTTCTTTTCATCTAAGCCTTCTGTTTTTTAGAAATGCAGTCAGACATTTTCTGATTCTGGCTAAGACATTCTTCTCTGATGTCTTCCTTCTCTTTATCAGTCTTGGCTCGTTCCAAGATGATCAACTGCTCAAAATCAGACATATGCTTTAACAGCATTTTAGCGTTCAACTCAAGAGAGTTTATCTTATTTTCATAAAATATACGTTCAGCACCGAATCTTTTCTCTATTTAAAGAAACCTTTTCTTCTCTTTCKCAAAATCATTCCTTTTAGTGCTTAAACTCTTTTCAGCTTTCAGAATTTTCTCCTTTTCTATATCCAGTAACTTTCTTAAATCAATCAGATCACTCTCAGACTTATTAAATTTCTCAGTTAAGTCCTCAGTCTCCATATTATTCCTTCCAGAAGAGTTTCTCTCAATTTGCAGTTCACTTTTAACCTCTTGAAGTTTATTAAACAGATCTTTATTAGCTTTAATCCAAGTTTTCAATTCATCATCATACTCTTTTCTGACAGAATTCAGAGTGTTCTCCAACTTTTCAATCCTATACATGAAATCATTTTCAATACGTTCACATCTTTCTTTATGTTCCTGTTTTAAATCTTTAATAAATTCCTCATTTGCATGATTTTCATAGAACATATTCAGGTATTTCTCTTTATAATCATGCACACTTTTCTCTAACTCAAAAATCTTCTCTTTCAGTTCCTTATTCTCCTTTTCAAAATAAACTGTCATTTTAGAAATCAGATTGATCAAAAGAATCTAATGCTTTGAAATCAGTAAAAGAAATCAAAATTAAACAATAAGCTCAAAAACTGTTGAGAACTCAGATAATCAGCAAAAACTGTCAAAAATCAGTAATAATAGTTGAAACTGTTGAAAACAGTCAAAAACAATTAAAACTGATTAAAAACAGTTTATGCGACACAAATCAGATCAAAATTCTCAAAACAGTTCAAAATCATCAAAATCAGACAAGACAGAAATTTGGTGAAAAACAGGTAATCATGCAAACTGGATAAAATTGATTTAAAAAAATTAAGATTTGACAAAATTTGGCTTAAAACCGGATGAAGCAAAAAAAAAATTGCTAGGTAAGAGGCTAAAGTCGGACAAGGTTGAAATGACTAAGTCCTAAATCGGCTAAGACAATACACAAGGTCTTAGACTAGTCCGGATGATAGGTTGCACGATATACTTAGATCGCTGATCAAGGATGTGTTAGCCGGTCACGAGGATACTAAATCGCTACCGAGATAGTTTAAATTCGGACACGGCTGTGTGCGAGGATGGTCAATCTCGCGACCAAGTCTTATATCCGGGAACAACTAAGCTGCTATTGAGGAATCAAATCCGAACGAAATAGTTTCCGGATTAGGATACGGAAAACAGGAGATCGCGACTAAGTAAAGTATCCGAGGAAGGTATCCGGACAAGCAGATGAGCGATTAGGCCAAGTCCGGACAAGGCGATGAGCGGGTTAAGCTAAGTCCGGACAAAGGTGCGAGCGACTTTCTTCCTAATACGGACAAGTAACTAGTGACTAAGTCTTGTACGAGGAAACTCAAACCGGATGGCCCTCTGTGCGATTTAGGCTATCTCCGACTAAACCTATGTCTGGATAACAAAAGTGAAAAAAAACAGCCAAGTATAGAATCCGGTCACAAGGGTATGCGATTTAGACAATCTTTGAGCGATTTATTTAGAAGCCGGATAATGTGATGAGCGATTTTATGAGAGAATTCGGCCAAACAATCAACAAAAACACAAAATACACAACTTCTTTACTCTAAAATGGATCAAAACTGACCTTTTTGAAGAAATTTTCAAGAACATGAAAAATTTTCAAGAACACGAAAAAATTTTCAAAACCACAAATTTGATTAAATCTTGAAATCATATGATCAAAACACAAAACTTTGTGTTTAACAAAGATTCACAACACAATTACGAACAATTTGATCATTATTTTAACACAAAAACACAAGATTTTGAAAAAAAATTGGATCAAATTTAAAGAAAAATGAAAAACACGAAGAATAAGATGAACACATAAAAAAATTCCAGAAAATTTCTTCAGAAAATCTTCAAAATCAATGATTGCTTCTCATGATTTTGTGCACAATCTGCTCTGATACCAATTGTAAGTCCACTTTAAGATCAATTTTCAAGTATCTTCAATAATTCATGGCAATCTTCAAAAACATTTAAGAACAAAATGGAAGGAGATTCAGAGAGAAAGTCTAACTTGGTCAATGCTTTATTATCTCTCAAAGTTTACGTACAATTTACAAATGAATCTCCTACTTATTACAAATGAGAGAGAAAGTCCTAACAAGGATAAGGATGGTGAACTTCCTAGGGGGGATGGACAGGAATCTCCTCAGATCTGTCGTGGAGGGTCCTTACATTCCTCATACTCTTATTCCAAGAGTCCCAGGAACAAGCACTACTGCAGAAGTTGTTGCTTACTTCATGCCCAAAGATGAAAAGAATTGGGACGAGGATGACCTTGAGCGTGTAGAGGCAGACATGAAAGCTAAAAGGCTGATCATAATGGCCATTCCCAATGACATCTTTCAATCCCTCGACGCATGCACCACAGCGAAGGAAATATGGGACGAGCTGGCGAGTCAACTAAAAGGAGGTGCAAAAACGAAGGGTGATATTCTAATAACAATAAAAATTAAAAGATTTTTTAAATTAAAAATGAAATTCAAACAATTCAAAAGATTTGAGAGGCAAAAAGGTAATATTGGAATTCAAAGTGATAAAATTTTAAAAATACGATCACACTAAACCCAATAATCTAGATAACATAATGGGCCATTATCATTATGGTTATCGCTTATTTCAACACGATTTGGTGTGATTTGGGTGTGATAATCATGCGATTATCACAAGGATTCCGCCCGACTAGGGTTAACTTAGGAAATCGACTACCGATTTGGTGTGATGTGAGTGTGATAATCATGTGATATCACTATCATAACAGTGCACTCGATTTGATCATGATTTCGATCAGTTAGGGTTAGACAATCACACATTTATCACAACGTTTACTCATGGTTTCGATAGGTTAGGATTAGACAATCACACATTTATCACAACGATTACGGGCGAAATCCACTGAACGATTTGGTGTGATATGGGTGTGATAATCATGTGATATCACTATTATAACATCACTTGCACACTCAATTTGATCATGGTTTCGATCGGTTAGAATTAGACAATCACATATTTATCACAATGATTACTCATGGTTTCGATAGGTTATGGTTACACTCGATTGATCATGGTTTCGATAGGTTATGGTTACACAATCACACAATTATCACAAGGGAAGAGAAGAGAGTGGAAAGAACGTGATCAATCCAGGAAAAAAAGGATAATTATGAATAATTAAAATAAAATAAAAATTACTTAATTACATTGATGCTCTTATTAATTTATTTATATTTAATATAAGTTAATTTATTAATCAAAAAAGTTTGAGATTATTGGGTTGTTCTCGTAAATTACAGGGGTTCTCATTTAAACCTTCATATATATATATATATATATATATATATATATATATATATATTCGGTTCGACTGAAATGAGCCAACTATATATTTTTAAACAAATATTATTTTTGAAAAAGAATGGTGGTTAAAATTTATATCTAACCAACCAAAACATTTCACATTTCAATTCATTATCTCTTTCTTTTATATACTCACTAATATTTGTCAAACATTTTTCTCTTCATCAATGTAGGAATTAGGTGCAAGTTGGTTCCTCAAAATGACGATTTTGAAAGTTGGTTCCCCAAAATAGGAATCAGGTGAAAGTTGGTTCTCCAAAATGACGATTTTGAAAGTTGGTTCCCCAAAATAGGAATCAGGTGAAAGTTGGTTCTCCAAAATGACGATTTTGAAAGTTSGTTCCCCAAAATAGGAATCAKGTGAAAGTTGGTTCCATTTTGATGCAATTTTTCCTTTTAAAAATCAATTTCTTAATTTTCAAAGTTCATTTTTTAAAATCATAAAAATTACTTTACTTTTTAATAAAATGATGGTACTTTATAAAACTAATCATGTCTTGCAAGAGCCATTTTTATAAAAAAATATTTTTTATTAAATAATTTATTTTTTTAATCTATTTTTATAGAACATTTTTTTAAATAATATCATATAAAATATATAATATGTAATACAATATTTTATTTTTAAGAACGTTTTCAAAAAATCTCCATAAACTTACAATAATACTTTTAAATATACTGCTTTTTTTATTTGATCCTATAAACTCAAGTTTGCTGCTAATATTATTCAGAGAAATGTGAGCATTCATATAATATAAACTTGGGGAGTGTTTAGGATTGCTTATTGGAAACAACTTATTCTTTTCTACAAAAATATTTATCAACTTATTATAAGTCAGAAAGGTTTAACTTGTTCAAAAACTCTTTATTATCGGTTTGGGACCAGTATAAATTGTTTATCCAAACATTCAAAAATGCTTACTACCGATGTCACACCGAAATAAGTTAATAAGTTGTTTTTATAAGCAATCTCAAACACCCTCTTATAAATAATAAGGTAACATGTATCGACAATCAAGACTCTCAGGTTGTAACATTCACACAAACTTCAAATCCATAAACGAAATGGATTCAAAAAATATTTGCCCACAATCCATTACTATATATATTCAAATATATAAGTCGTCCAAAAATCCCAACAATGAACATATGCTAAAACTACTACTGTAACACAAATCAAACAACCAAACAAATCACATCACATCACATCAGCCAAAAGAACAATATAAATTCAATAATATAAATGTATGAAATATGAAACCAACTCTCACTCACATGTCTTCTTCTTCAACCTGTACAACACCTTCTTCTTCTTGGAGCTTTGATTATAGAATGTAAGCACCACTTTCCCTGCTTCTCCGCACTTGAACCGCCCGTTGATCACCGATTCTGCACCGTTCCCTGTAATCTTTCTTGATTTCTGAACAATAATCGTGTATCCATCTTCTGCATTTGGCACAAATTCAGCCCCATACGACACTTCGCATCCCACCACTCGAGCCTCCCATGTCAACGTGCATGTCTACACTCAACCACATCGTTTTAAAAACATCGTTCGCAAGATAGCACAAAAAAAGAAAATGAAATCGGTTTGAATTACAGTACCTCAGGTGCAGGGAGCTCGATTGTGTGTTGAGATGAAGGCTTGATGATCTCTTCTGTGATAGAATCAGTGGTGGTGAATTCTTGTTCACCTTCCCTGCTAAGCCCACCATATTGAACTGGAACCAGCTCAGGTGCTATGTATCTGAGATTGCATCAAACGAATTAGAAAATTTACAAAGATATGAAACCCCGTTAGATTACTCTCCAAAATGGCCCTCGAGGACAAAATGGACCAAGTCATAACACTTTCAACGGGGGATAGCCGGATAGATGGGCATACATAATAGTAATACTACCTCAAGTGGTAGTAGAACGTGCTGTGATACTATGTAAGAATACGTTGTGCAGATTCCAACATATAGGAAAATTCCAAAAATAGACCAAATCTAGCCGATATAAGACACAACACGCCCCTAACTGAGGCATAGATCGTTGCATAGCATCGAATACCTCTGGCTCTGATACCATGTAAAAGTATTATACAAATGGATGTGTGATTGATGAATGGCTTACTTGAAGAGGGTTTCAGTGGTCTTTGAAGGGCCAGCAAACACAAACTTGCTTTTGGTCCTTTGGGTGAAGAATGGATTAATCATCTTGTAGAAAGCCAGATACCACCATGGAACATTGATGAACACCTTCAAGAAAAACATATCTCAAAATAAAAATCCAAATCCAAACACAAAAAACAGTCTTTTTTTAATACCCATGTCAGATTAACATTTGATCACAAAAACCCAGATGGGAATTGAGAACAAAACCATGTGGCAGTTAGGTCACCGTTGACTCTAGGTCAAAACGACAAAGATCAGAACATGTCGTCATGTCCCAGAACACCAAGGATGTAGAAATTGAACTGACAGATTATTAATTAATATGTTGAAAAACAGATCGGAAAAGCACTTTTAATTTGAAATGGAGGTACCTGTTTGGCGACGAATTCGGGGTAGTTGTCTTGGAGCAACTGAAGAACTTGCCGGAGTTCTTTCTTGAAGGGTGCCGGAGAATATTTGAGATCGTTGACTTGAACAATGGTGGAAATCCCATCGGGACTGAAATCGAGCTTCCTGATGCTCTTTTCAAGGAACTGGATTCTCCACCGGAGAAACTTTTTGCGTTTCTCGTCGTCCGAGAAGGTTTCTTGATAGAGTTCTTTGTTCTGATATTCTCCATAGGCATTATAGCAAACTGGGTGGCCTTCTTTATCGACTCCATGCATATAAACCACCTTCTCTTGCTCTATTCCCAGATCTTCATCGAGCAGTGATTCGATTCCGAACTCTTTCCGCCATGCCACTACGTTTTTAAGCATCGTGAAGGCGTCTTTCACCTTGAAGTCTCGTGCTCGGAGGAATTTCAGGAGGATAACGTCGCTACGTTCGTCGGCGAGTAATGGGATTCCCCAGATGGAGATTTCTTCTGGTGAGATGGGTGTTTCCTCCGCCGCGCACGGTGGTGGTGCTGTTTCTTCTGTCCTTGGTGGCTCAGCAGGCATGGTGACTGCTACTATTGTTTCTTGAATCGCTTCGATCTTTTTTGCTCCGTCTTCATCGATGCAAGATTCGGCTTTCACAATCACCTCCGTCACTTCCTTCACCGATGGCTCCACCGCTGTAACCTTCTCCTCTTCTTTGCATTCAGATTCAACCACCGGCGTTGGAACAGTAGCTCCACCTTCAACGGCGGAAGAGGGTTTCTTCTCCTCCTCCTCCTCCTTAACCGGCGGTGGCGGAGGTGGAGCAGTAAACTCATGTTTATTAAGAGCTTCCTGAACCAACAATTTGAGTTCATCCAAAGCCTTCTTCTGTGGATCAGGAAGTTCACCCACAACGTTACTTTCCTCCTTGAATGAAATCGACGCCGTAACCTTCTCCTTCTCTTCTTCAACGGCGACATCCTTCACAGCTTCTTTCTCACAGGCTTCAACCTTCTCCGCCTCTGGAACATCGGAAACAACGGCAACCTCAGGCGATTGTGCAGCAGCTGTCTTGAGGGTTTCTTCCGCCATGGATGGATGAAAGAAAGAAAGAAAGAAAGAAAGAAAGAAAGAAAGAAAGAATGAATGACGATGGAGATGGGAGATGGGAGATGGGAAGAATGAAATGGGGGAAGAGGGTGTTTTTAAAGAGTGGGTGTTGGTATTTTTGCCAGCTGAGTTTGAAGAATAAAAATCGTGGGCTCCAAAAATGGGTTTCATACACACAGCTCAATGTTGGTAATAATCATGTGTCACGGACCCCACCTCATTTCTTCCGACCGTTGTCATCGACCTGCGCCGGAAACTCATTTCCTCTTTTCTTTTTCTTTTATTTCCAAACATATTTCAGAAAACACATTGCCCAAGGAGGCAAATTAAATTGATGTCAATTATAATTAGTTGATATATTAATTGAAAAAGATTTATAACAAATATAATTGATTAGTACATGATATTGAATTTTATATAACAATTATAATTAATTGGTATACGGTATTAATGAAAAAAACTTAGTAGTGTATCTAATTCGTGCCTACACTTACTAATTGATGATGAGTTGATTTTTAAAAATTCAAATCCATTACTAAATTGTAAGTAGACCAATGTTTTGATATAATTTGCTTAACTAAAATTAATTATATTTAGATTATTTAAATTGTGATAAATCTTTAGATTTTCCAAAACAAACAAAATAATATTAGAACACTTAAAAATACTCTATCATTGTTGTTTACAAAAGAAAAAATCAATCCAAGTTATGAGGTTTACCAAGAATGTATATCATTTGCAAGTTATTTTTTTCGAAATCTATAAGCTTATAAAATTCGAGAATATATATATATATATATATATATATATATATATATATATCATAGCTAGCTCGTGAACTTAACTTTGATGTTGTGTAAGCGGATCTTCAGGAGGTGTTCGAACACCTTTACTTTAAAATAGAGAAAAATAAGTTCAAAACTCCAAACAAAATTACATCAAACTCCAATAGATTCTCAATTTTTTAAATTTCAAAATTAATTATATTATTAAAATATTTAATAATGTAACAAAAAAATTTGTCACTCTTTTTCTGGTTATTTCATTGATTGTTGGTATTGTTTACCTTGAAATAAGAAAATGCACAATATTTGTAGGAAATGTATATTCTTTTTCCTACTTTCTCTATTTCAGAACAAGCTATGGGTAAAAATAAACTTAAAAAGACTATTTTTTCCATTTTTGAAAAACTTTTGGAGATGGCAGACCATTTTTCATGGTAAACATGGTGTGATGCGACATATGCTATTTTTAACAAACTAGTTGACAAGTTAGTTGGTGGTTAATAAGCTAGTTGTTAGTTGATAAACTAACTGATAATGGAAAAACTAGTTGATAAATTAATCATGTTTGACGATATGCGAACTGATAAGATAGTTTATAAATGTAAATGATTTAGAAGGACATGTTAAAAATGGTCAATTTTAACATTACATAATCTGAAATTAAACTAATCATTAATAATATAATATGTTAATTAATAAAATTTCAATTTAATTATCAATTATAGATATGAATTTGTGTAAACAAATATAATTTTTTTAGGAAACAAATTACACATAATTTTATATAAATGGTACATCTGTACTATATTATAAAACATTTGACAAAAACTCTTAAAACTCATTTTTTATACATGAAGTACTGTTTATTGATGCATATTACTTAAAATTCAAGATTACAAGTAAATTATGC